CAAGTCTCCATTCTCCAGTGTTTGATGCACTCTCTACCTGCCTCCTAGAGGTATTGTCCTAACAAAGAAACCAGATCATCTGACTTAAAAGCATAGAAATCTTAGTTGACTCTCTACTTGTCCATGAGGTATAAGTTTCATAAATTTTATCTCTATTCCACCACTCAAAGATCAAATAGACATTTTGACCAATTTTCCTTATCTTCCAAACCACCTCTTTGAGCACTGTCTTGTAAGACACATTCCTCAAGCCTTTGCATATTGCTTTTTAAAATTGTATCAATGTTCATACTTTTCAGTCATGATAATTTCAGTTTGTCTTTTTTTTTTTTTTGGTTGGTCGTGGGGCTTGAACTCTGGGCTTGGGCGCTGTCCCTGCGCTCTTCAGCTCAAGGCAAGTGCTCTACCACTTGAGCCAAAGCTCCACTTCCGGTTTTCTAGTGGTTTATTGGAGATAAGAGTCTCACAGGCTTTTCTGCCTGGGCTGGCTTTGAACCGTGATCCTCAAATCTCAGCCTCGTGAATAGGATTACAGGTGTGAGCCACTGGCACCCAGCTCAGTTTGTCTTTTAAGGTCTAGCTTGGTGCTCCCTCCTCTATGAGTCCTGAAAACTGGCTGGCTCCACATTAAGGCTCATTTCCCCTTCTGCTGTACTGAGCTATGTAGCTGACTATCCCATGTCTACCCATCTTTTTCTCTTTAGATTCCACACTTTTAAGGAACCAGGGTTTCTACTCACTCAGCAGAACATTTAGTATAGAGCTTTCTCTTAAGAGTGGGGTTCCTTATATATTTTTTCCTTTTTCAGTTGACATGGTTAGTATCTAAAGCTATAAATTATGAATCAAGATGGCATGCCCTCTGTTTTAATAAACTTATAGAATCAGCATTCCAATTCTGGATTTTTTTTCTTTCTGTACCGAGATTTATTAGAGGACTTGGTATCAAATAAATCCAAATACATCATTAATAATAAATTCTAAAACAAGAGATCAACTCTAAACCTATACATATATACATAGTGTACTTCGGGAGTCTGGAAAGAGTTTGTCTAGTCCAGTGGTTTTCTTTCTTTTTTTTCTTTTTAATTATAAGCATGAGATTGTCTTTTATTTTAAAAATCTGGAAATGAGTTCTTTCTTTTTTTAGTATAAAATAAATTTAATTTTTTTCTCTTAATAAAGTATATCCATCCTGCATTCTCTGTGATATCCTTCTGAATACAATATATATTGCATCACAGTCACAAATATTTTTTGGAAATACCTTCAACCTTTTCTAGCAGAGGTCTACAACAATATTCTCATAATCAACCTACTTTCCATCAGTCCAGTGTTTTAAACAAAACTAATAAATAACAGATTCTCCATAGGAGGTATCTTAAAGAGTTCAGTACCAATTTGAATTTGATTATCATATCTATATAGAGAGAAAACATACTTTGTGTATTCTATAATATATAATCTAAAAATTCTTATTGTTGCTATTGATTTTTTATTTAAGTAGTTGTAAGAGGAGTTGCCATTTTGCAAAGCAGTTTATGAATGCAATGCATCTTGATCAGTGTTATCCCTTGTCTCAGTAAGGATGATATAGCACAGATCTGCAGCTAATACAATAATTTCTTCCCAAGGCCACGAACACTGTTTCATTCAACAATGACTGATGCTGAAGATCAAGGAGTATTCCATAGCCTGAAAGTTCAGATTCATGCCATGTCTTAATTCCAGGTTGTTGATGAGTAGGAATAGCAATGAGAGTAGCCCAGTAGTTTCAAACTTTTATATAAGAATAGGAAACAGAGCTGAGGATTCAGGGTGCCAGGCCATGCAAACCTAGTTTTATCCAGGTTTTATATTTTATGTTTATCTATGAAGCTTTCAGAAAAACATCATTTTGAAAACTAATTTTGCTGTCAAATCAGTTTGGAAAACAGTAACAACTTTGAGATGACTTCTGTGTCCTTGGTAACTCTGGGCCTCCATTTCCTCATCTGTAAAATAAGAGAATGGTGCTATGATAGCTTGTGCTTTGATTCTGAGCCTCTCTTTTCATTTTCAAGTAAAAAACCCCAAGAGAGGTGAAGTGATTTACTAAAATCATGTAAGTTAATGCCAAAATCAAGATTAGAATTTAACCTACTACATTTAGTTTGGCATTTCTCCTCATACTTTTTCTAAAATTCTAATGAAGTTTAAAGCAAAAAAGTATAGACAGACATTATTTAGAAGAGGCAGATATGTCAGCAGGTGTATAATTAGCATGTAAAAATAAAGTAATACTGTATTTTAAATTTGCCTTATTTAAAGTGGGTATGCTAACTACAACATACATTGATTGAACATTTACTTGATTTTACATTTATTCAAGTTTATAGAAATAATTTGGGTGAGTTTGTTTGCATGGCCTGTTTCTCTTTTTAAAAACCACTTATAAGTTGTTTATACTTGCTGGTAAAACTTCACATTATCAGTGTGGCATTTTAAATCATTCCATTAACCATTCCTTTCATGTTAAGTCTCACTGCATCTAAGTGGAAAATCACTCCTAAAAAGTAGTGAGGGTTTGGGAAGCAGGAGTCTCTAACTTCTAGTCCTTTCATTCATCATCTCCCCTTTGCTCATCTTCCTCTCTTCATCCCCTCCTCTCCAAATCAAGGGTATCCATGAAGAGGAAATGAAGTCACAAAACAACTGAGAGGTGTGTGTGAAAAGGAGGGAAAGAAGGGCAGTCATGCTCCTTGGTCTTGTTGATGGTGGGGGGGTATTTATAGGCTGATCACATTCCAGCCTTGGGTGCTTTTTGCTTAAAGAAAAAGTAAAAACAAAAGAGCTCACAGAGACACCTCCTTCTTCCCCCTCCTTCTGCCTCCATGAGTCACTACCCATATGGCGTGCTGCTGCTGAGACCAAGAAATGAGTGAGTAAAGGTGTATAGAAGTCAAGTATTGGTCCTAATTGGTCCTAATTATCCTTAGATAATTGTCAGAAAAAAACTTGAACTATGAATCCTGTACTAATTTAGGATTTATAGGATTTAAACATAAGTGAAACCATCTTTGTATCATTAAGGAAAAGGAATGGGGCATCCCTGTTACAATAATGTAATAGAACAGTGGAAAAGATGGCAAGGATAAACTTTAGCATACTTAAGAAAACTTTTAGAGGAAATCATAGCATCCACTGCAAATGAAGGACTCTGCCATAATAGGACTGGTAAGAGCTAACACATGGCGATGTGTTATAACATTGGTTGAACAGGAATAACTATTTCAGTCTGACTTCTCAATCTTAACCTCTAGAATAGGTTTAAGTGGATGAAAATTTATGATCAGAGATGCATGATGACTGCTTTTCTTAAGCCCAATAGTTTTACTAAGTTTCATACAAATATCTATTTTTGATAAGCTACGGCCTTGCCATAGGCAAGAAATAGTACGTAGACCTTGTAAAGAATCAAGTAGTATCTTACTTTTAATTTGGTTACTATATTTGAGTGTGCAAAGAAACAAGCTGTTCTACTTGGTTGATGCTTTCTGATTCAGGTTTTGATGGTTTTTCTGTACTTGTTGGTCTATTGCTTAAGGTTAGGTTAACTATTCTACAATTGGAATTAGTTCTTGAATTTGAAATTTTTCATATGTATGTACTTTTTCCCTAACACATTTTAACTGAGTCTGATCAAGGTGTCTTTGGTCTTTTTGTTTGCTGTTTGAGTCACTTACTGCAACACTGGCTTTTAAACCGCTCACTTTAATTCCTTTTTAAATAAATGCTTGATTTAAATCTGTACAGGTAACAATAATAATCACATAATATGGTCCAGAAAGCATAATATCCTCTTGAAATCTTTATGATAAACAAAGTAATATTTGTTTAAAAATACTCAGAGCTAGACCTTGCTAAAGAATATCTTTTAGGAATCTTTTTGTAACAGAAGAAATCTCAAAAGGGAAAATGAGTTTCAGTAGAGATAACCTTAAAAAAAGCAATAGTTATTCAAGACTGAAAGAGAAGGTTGTACTCCCCTTCCATTTCATTTGGTATTTTGTTATCTGGATCGTTTTAATTTAAATAATGTAGATCTGAATCTGAATCATCTCTTTTTGTATATAATTCAAAACTTTATTATACCACATTTATATTTTATTTTTGAATAGCAAATCTTTTTCCATAACACCTAATTATCTCTAAAAGATATCTGCTACAGCAACATTGGATTAACTTATAAAATGCTATATGTCATATTAAACAGTATTTCCTAAATATACTTTTAAAACTAGAGGAAGCATTAATCCTCAAGAGTGTAATTTGGGGTGTGGGGATGTGGCTCAAGTGGTAGAGCACCTGCATTTAGCAACTATGTGGCTAACACTAGAACACTAGAACCACTGTAGCAGGAGCATGATTTAGTACCACTGAAGTGCTTGTAGTTTGGTTTTCTCATGGTGTCATTAATAAAGATTGGGAATATTGCATAAATGGTAGGTCGGGCAAGAGCCAGACCCTGAATTCAAAAATGCAGTACTTCCAGAAAATAAATAATACAAAATATACTGGATGTTGTAAGAGACAGAGTTTTCAGTTCAGAATAGTGCATATTGTTGAGTGAGTCACTATAAAAAAGTATACTGGAAAGATTACAGAGGAAAGATTATATAGAAATGTAATCTTAATGCTTAAAATAATATATATGCCACATCATAGTAGAAGATTAATTTAGGTTTATAAGCAGTCCACCTTTTTTGCCACACATCTGTAAGCTGACTTCTTTTATAAATATGGATTCAACTAGTTAGAGAACTACTTCCTTAGCTTTCTATAGGAACAAATATCCTCATAAACATTCACTTTCAAGACAGGCATAGACATTCTTGTTCAGAGCACGTTTAAGGCATGTTCTCTGCTCATTCAGAAAGTTGGTGGGTTTTCAGCATGTGAATACTGACTGTTGTCTTCTCTCAGTTTTGACTTACTACTTGTTTTTTCTTCTTCCACAGCACTCAGTCAATAAGGACAAGTCCCAGGAGTTTAGACTGGGTTCACAATCTATGGCACAGTAAGCAACTTCTTCTAAATTATCTGCAGTGATAAGTAATTAGATTGTTTTTTCATAACATGATGATCACATTTCAATTTTAACTTTGGATAACTGACTTCTAGAAGTTTTTAGCTTAAACTAAGAGGAATGTTTCAGTGGTTGGACTGACTTAAAGAACACATTACAAAGTAATAATATGAAACAAAATAATGTTACATTCAACTTGAGAGAACCTATCTTGACATTTACTTTTGTTTGAGCAACATTTGAAATAACGAGTAAATGATTATCAAATACCTATCTTGAGACATTAAAGAAAAAATACTACTTGAATATCATCATTGTACAATCATATTATCACTGACAAAATATAACATGAATGTTATCAACTATGAGTGGTTTAGCTCTCCACACGTGCTCTTCCACTTCACCCGCACGTACACATAGGGATTCATGTTTGCACTCACAGACCATTCTTGCTGAATTTCCTTCAGGAAAATATAAGTTCAAGTTAACTTGCTTTCACAGTTCAAAGAATAATTTTGTCTTAATAACTCAAAAATTCTGGCTGAAATGACAGTAATGTACAGGAACTGTCCAAAGCTTTGCAGAGTTCACAAAACATTTCATTCCACAAATGAAAGATATGTAATTTTTAAATGGACTTTCAAAGAATTACAGAATTATGATGTAGAAAATACCTTAGAAATTCTTTCCACCACTTCTCTGTTCTCATGCTTGAGAAAACTAAGAGAGCCATGTATAAAATTCACAGGCCACATTTATCACCTGTACCAAGTTCTAAATCTCTGGCCCTAGGCAACTGGAGTTTCTTTTCTAGCTAGATTCTTTGTATCATTTTGTTGTTGCTTTCTTTTGAGAAGTAAGCTATACTGATAAAGTATACAATTTTTTTATAGCTCTGTATAGTTTCAGACTATATTCACTGATATTAGGACATTTGTTTCTCACAATATCACTGAGAGATAAGTAGACAAGTATTCTGACTTCTGTTTTACCAAGGGGGAAAACAAAATCTGAAAGACTGAGCCCTGTCCTGCAGGTGTTCAGACTGAAGAAGCACCCAGCAGAAAGTGGAGGGTAAGCTAGCAAAAGATGATCAAAGTAGACTGACTGGTGATGGGTTGGAGATTTGAGGTGGAGATAAAACAGACTAGAGATTGTGGCTCTTGAAGAATGCAAAATGAGAATTTAGGAGCAGCAGCAGGTTGGGAAGTAGAGGCAGGAGACAAGTCTTTATATATCTATATGAACATGTGCCTGAGCAAACGTTTGTCTGTACCAAGAGTTTGGTCTGGTTCAAGGCCTTGTTTATACTGCTAGAAAGAGGAACAATCAGGAACAGCCTTTCCAGATGAGTGACAGTGGTTCTTTTTTGAACATCAATCCAAAGAGGAAAATCAATCATCTCTTCTCTGTAGTTGGTCCAATGCTGGGCGCTGAATTTCAGTGATAAGTGATACATAGTATATACCTTTGCAGAGTGTCCAGTGTGGTAAGGAAGATACACAGTGCACAGTCATTTGCTAAATATAGATTTGCTGAGCACCTCCCATGTTTCAGTGTTCAGGCAAGAGACATAACAGTGAACTGGTAAAAATCCTTGTCTCAAAGAACTAACATTTACTTGTATGTAAAAGAAGTAAAATATCTATATCAGATGTTAGCTACACAGTGGAGAAAAATAAAGCAAGGGTAGAGAATAAGAGGGAAGTGTGATGGTTTCAGTTTTAAATAGTATCAGAGTTCTCACTGAGAAAGGAAAATAAGTATATGCAGCAGGGAGAGTGCAAAGGGCCCTAAGGTGGGAGCATACCTAGTATCTTAAAGGGATGGTAAGGAAGTTGCTGGGACTTTTGGAGTAGAGGAAAGCAACTGGGACCAGTAAACCATTGAAAGACTTTTAGCTTTTAAGCTACGTAAAATAAGGAACTTTAAAGCAGAGACAGTGATGAACAGTTTATTAGCATCACTCTAAAATTTGAGATAATAGATTTTTTTAATTTAATAAGTTTTCTATTGTGAAAATACTGTACAGAGGGGTTACAATTACATGGGCAAGATAATGAGTACATTTCTTATCAAGCATTGTTGCCTCCTCCTTTGTTTTTCCCCTTCCCATCCCTGCCCTCCCACCTCCACGACTACATTCCCCTCCCCCACCGCAAAAGTTGTAAAGTTCATTTTTCTTTCTTTTTTTTTTTTTTTAGAAAAATCGGTGAGCTTTTCTTTTTATTTATTTTTATTTTTATTTTTTGGGTCTGCTCGTGGGCCTGAACTCTGGGCCTGGGCACTGTCCCCTCAGCTCTTCAGCTCAAGGCTAGCGCTCTACCACTTGAGCCACAGCGTCACTTCCAGCTTTTTTGTTTTTTGCTTATGTGGTGCTGAGGAATCGAACCCAGGGCCTCATGAATGCGAGGCAAGCACTCTACCACTGAGCCACCTTCCCAGCCCCTTAAAGTTCATTTTTCAACATAGCATTTTGTACATCTCATTGTTGCAATGGTTCTACCTGTATCCCTAGTTAAACAATTTGTTTTTTTCCCTTCCCCTCCCCAAATTATACCAACATCAAATACAGTGAAAACAGGGGTTATACCGTGGGGGAGGGACATACAAGCAACAAAACAATCACCTTATAAATGTTAGGAGCAATAGCAAGAAAGAAAAAAACCACTTGTGTCCTTATCTTGAAGTTCTTTTCGACTAACATCATCTTACCTGACCGTTTTTGCTTGTCTCAGACATATACTAATTATTGCAAATAAGGGAAACCATGGGACCTTTGTTTCTTTGGGCCTGGCTTACTTCACTTAATATAATTTTAGACAAGAGTAGAAGCAGATTAGTCAAGATAATATATTTTTTGTTGTTGTTGTTGGGCCTTGAGCTCTTCAGCTCAAGGCAAGCCCTCTACCTCTTGAGCCACAAGGCCACTTCTGGTTTTCTGAGTGGTTTTATTGGAGATAAGAGTCTCAAGGACTTTCCTGCCCGGGCTGGCTTTGAACCTCGATCCTCAGATCTTAGCTTCCTGAGTAGATAGGATTACAGGAGTGAGCCACCAGCGGCGCCGGGCTAGTCAAGATAATATTAAAGTTGCCATGTGAGACCTGATGGGTACCTTGAAAATTTTGGACAATATGGTTAATGAAAAGTAGCAGATTTTGTGTGCACCCATATACTACTAGCACTTTTAGTGAAATGTATTTGGTGTTCATTGAATTGCCTATTTAATGCATGCAGTTTTAAATTTTGACATAGATATATGGCCATGAATCGCCACCATAATTAAGGTAATTAGTATTTCCATCTCCCCAAAGGATTTCTTGGGTTCTTGGGTAATTTCTTCCCATTATAATTTTCCTTCCATTCTATGAGATTTTTATCTCCAATTAACTAGCCAAAAAAGCTGAACTCAGAGGTAGCTCCCATTGATGGAGCAACAGCCATAAGTTCAAAAACTCAATGAGAAAAAAAAACAAAACTCAATGACAGTACCAGGTCCTGAGTTCAAGCCCCAGAAATCTTCTAAGGAGTCCTAAAACCAGTACCCTTTGGATTAAGAGGGATAACCAAAATCATACAAGTTTTCTTTCTTAAACTTATTTATGTGGTGAATTACAATGCTTCTCAAATGCTAATAAATCAGCCTTCTATTTCTGAGACAAATACTACTTAATAGTGGTATATTTTGTTGTATTTATTGTATTAATTTGCTCATTTTTTTGAGAAATTTTCATACTTTGTCATGAGGAATGTATGGCTGTAGTTTCCTTATCTTGTAATGTTTTATTTAGTTTGGGTAATGGGGTAATATTGACTCCTGAAATGAGTTAGAAAAAAGTCCTAACTCTAGATTTCTATAAAAGTTAATACAGATTTAGTATTGTTTCCTCCTTACTGATGTCCTTTGTTAGGGTGGCATTATTCTCGTACTTTCCTTTAGTTCATTAGACATGATTTCCATTAGTGCTTTTTTTTTTGGCCAGTCATGGGGTTTGAATTCTGGGCCTGGGTGCTATCCCTCAGCTCTTCAGGTCAAGGCTAGCACTCTACCCCTTGAGCAACAGCACCACTTCCAGTTTTCTGAGTGATTTATTAGAGATAAGAGTCTCACCCACTTTCCTGCCCAGGCTGGCTTTGAACCATGATCCTCAGATCTCAGCCTCCTGAGTAGCTAGGATAACAGGCATGAGCCACCAGCGCCCAGCTTTCCTTTAATTCTTTAAACATACTTAAACTTGTGGATTTCAAGTTTTTTGGCAACAAATCCACTGCCTGAGCCATCTGGGGGCAGTTTCTCATCATTGTTGGTAGGAATATATACTCTCCTAAGTATCCTGCTGTACAAACTTGCTGATCTTCAGGTTCTCTCATCATAAAACTCTATCCTTTCTACAACCGTTTGGGAACTGTAGCCACCTTGGTCTCCCCAAACTCTCTGCTGACATTAAGGAAATTGCCTTCCCATGGAAGGAGATTTTCAGGACATTAGGGTGTATGCTCATCTTGTTTATCTTCCTCTCCAGGATTACTGATGTTCATTCACTGCTTGTGATTCAATATCTTGAAAACGGTTTCAAATATTTTGTCCAGTTCGGGGATTTATTTTGTTTGTTTTTATTTGTACTGGAATTTGAACTCAGGGCCTCCTGCTAGCATCCACTGTAGAAGTTGAACCACACTTCCAGCCTTTTTTTTTACTTTAGCTGATAAGAGTCTCGACTTTCTACCCTCAGCCAGCCTTGGACCTCCTTACAGTCTTCCATTTAAGTGGAGTAACAAATGCACACCACTATGCCATTCATTAAGATTCCATCTTAATGAATAACTTTTTTCCCAGACTAGACTGAAACTTCAATGTTCCCAATATTTGTCTCCTGAGTAGCTGGGCATACAAACATGAGCCACTATCCTGGTCCTAATTTTTTTTTCATTTTTACTGTTACCATTAAGTTATTCAGAAAGAGCATTGCCTGTCCCACAGGTCAGGATATTACAACTCTTTTATGCATGAACTCCCTTGACTTTTTTTCTGTCATTAAGGAATATCTTATACATATGTGTGAACATATGTGTCTGTGTATGTCCATCTAAGTTGGGAACATTTTCTACTTTTCCCCAGGCATCTAGTATTCTCAGAGACAGATGGAGCTTGTTTCATTCTTGTCTCTTTGTCATGGTTATTAAGGAACAACTGTCACTCTGTGAATAATCATTCATATAGTTCTATCAGACATTTCTCTCCCTCCAATGCTCCCATTTTTCCTCCTTTTTATTCCCACTACCACTTCCCTAAATCAAAGCCGTACTTGAGTTACTGCAGTAGCTTTCTTACTGGCTCCTCTTTCCCTTCTTTCCTTCGTATAGTGCTGAAATGGGCAAAGAACAGAGCCGTGAGGACCGAGGACACAAAGCAGATATGCAGGCAAAGAAGAATGAGCAAATCGGCCGGAAAGTCACCCTTATAGAGGTAAGAGGAAAACCAGAAGAAGGTCCCATCATGTAGTCAACAGGAAAAGATTTAGGAAGGCTTGGTCAACACTGACAAATGCCAGACGGAGGAGAGGTGCATAAGAATTAACAACTGCTCTTTGGGAATTATAACCAAGAGGCCATTTGCAGTTTAGAGAAAAAAAGTTTTGAAGGGAAGTCCTGGAAACATAAATCAGATTGTCTTCATCCTAAAAGAAAATGTCTTTATTTTCTAAAAATCTGGGCTGTAAATTAAAGACTAGGCAGAAACTAGTAGAAAACACAGTGTGAAGAAAAAGTCTCTTTAAAGAGGAGAATTACAAAAATATTTACAAACTGAGCAAGTAGAGTCAGTGAGAAGGAACCCTTCACTATGTGGTCTCAGAGAGACCGTCAAGGTTCTAGGGAAGTACAGAGGATTTGCATTTAAAGATGGAAGGGTAAGCTGTGTTTACCTCTAAGACAGCAAAGTGAGGAAATGGGTTTGAATGAGTGCTTTCTGTCAGGGGTGGACTTAAGAAAAAGAAAAGCCTGGCACCAGTGTCTCACACCAGTAATCCTAGCTACTCAGGAGGCTGAGATCTTAGGATCGTGGTTCAAAGCCAGCCCAGGCAAGGAAAGTCCATGAGACTCTCCTCTCCAATTAACTACCAGTAAACCGGAAGTGGCACTGTAGCTCAAGTGGCAGAGCACTCACCTTGAGCTGAAGAGCTGAGGGACAGCGCCTAGGCCCAGAGTTCAAGCCAGAAGCAGATGGTTCATGTCTGTAATTCTAGCTACTCAGGAGGCTGAGATCTGAGAATTCTGGTTTGAAACCACACCAGGTAGAAGTCATGAGACTTTAACCAGCAAAAGCCCAGGGTGGAGCTGTAGCTAAAGTAATAGAGTTCTAACCTTGAATGATAAAGCCAAGCAAGAGCCAGAAAACCCTGAGTTCAAGCCCCACTGCCAACACACACACACATACACACACACACACACACACACACACACACACCAAAATTATAAGTAAGTATAAAATACATATGATCTATTCAGAAAGTTGAACAATATACATCAAAAGATGTTAATAGTTATCTGAATGGTATGATTGTGGCGACTGTTTTTCATTTTATCTAATGTATGTATTTTCTGATTTTTAAACTCATTTTTATACTCATACTTTGACCATTCCTTTCAAAATGAAAGTACTTTCAGAAGGTTTCAAATACAATCTGTTCTTTCTTCATTTAAGTAACAAAGGCCTCAATCACCACCACAAAGTACTTGAACTAGGACATGGTCTTCTGGCTCCAAGTGCAGGGCTGTTTGCATTACATGTGGCTTTGTCTGTTGACTCTTGACTTGATGGGAAGTGCTCACTGTGCTTGCAGGCAGAGGCTATGGCTTGCTCACATCTTCTCTCCAGCACTTAGTGAGACAACCTGAGGTTTAGCCACAGAAGAAAACCTTCAGAAAACATTTATCAGATTCAATTTCTTGTGGGATAGGGACTAGTATTTTTATGAACCTTATTTTTTACACATACCATGCACACAAACACTAATTTCTTATTCATTTTCAGAATCTTGTTATACATAGTTTCCTTTCTCGTCTTATCTAAAGTGCCTTTTAAAAAGTGCTTACTTTGCTTCTCTTCTCTTTTGCTGTGAAAAATTTTGCACTTGGACTTACTGGTCTGGGTTAGGTGACCCTTTTACCCCATTTAATGTCCTACTATCTCTTAGCGTTCAAGTCCCATTGCTATCAGCACCCACCATGCCAACTACTATACTGGGTTTTTGGTAGTCTGTGGTAGAACACTTGACCATTTCTTCTCTTTCTCTCATCCTGTCTCTCTTTTCCCCTTCATACACAGTCTTTGTCATTCTCCATCCAGTATGCTTATTCCTCTAGTTAGTCTGAATCATTTCCTTTGCTCCCTAATGCGGCTTTTGTTAAACTTCTTTTTGAGTTTCCTCTTCTGATGGTCTCCTGACTTCTGTTGACTTTTCATAGTTCAGACTCCTGGTTCATTTAGCTTGTCCTACCTCTCTGCACCTGCAGGATCCATCTCGTTGATTTCCAGCTTTCCACTCCCCTTCTCTTCTCTTCCCTTTTCTGTTTTTCATCATTTTTCCTATCATTACCATGAACTCCTCTCACTTTGTGTTGTCTTATTCTTCCTCTAAGATCCCCTTACCTCTTCTCTGTCCTTTCCAGAAGTTATCAGGGTCTCTGTGTGGCTTACATTTTTCTTCCCCATTTTTATCAGACACTAATTTAAGCAAAGTTTTACTTTTCCTGTCTCCATATAGGTATAGAAACTATTGTTTTTCCTGGCCCTTAAGTGGTATAGTACATTAGCATACTCTACCTGTAGTAATTTACACTCACTTAATTGCTTTCATTAGGTCACATCAATCTGTTTTTGAGCTGCTCTATATGAGTTTACCTGTGTAGAGCTCTATTTAATATTTAAAATCAGGACATGTGGACATACAAAAGATTTTTTTCTCTCATATATAAATTTTTCTTGTATGAAAATATTGTAACCATTTATTTAAGATTAGGCCTATTTCTAAAAGTGCAGGTGTTTGCTCTTACTTCTATGGGTGAGCTTTAAAGAATGGTTAGCCTTTGCCCTTTCCTGCCACATTGTGCTAGCCATTGCTTCTCCCAGGAGTGATCAATAGAGTTGCCTTCACGTTAACCCATTTATCGTCGTTCAGAAGCTGCAGTTTGTTTCTCTGGGCCTCTCTATTTAGAGAAAGACAGTAATACTTTGTATTAGTCTAGATTCTCAATGCTGCCTAGATCATTATACTGAAAAGCCTAGATTTGGTTCAACTTGATTATCTTGCACAAATTGTAGTACCCCTACCATGTGGTTTCTAAGAAAGTAACTTCTTGCTTCATCTACATACTGGTTCTTCTTTTTTGTTAATGACATAGTTTGTTTTATACCAAAGCTGTGTCTAGATATATGGTTAGCCATCACTGTCATGGCCAATCAAAAGTGACACAAACTATTTTGGATTAGTTTGAAAAATATAATTAAATCAGTTGTAAACATTAACACCAAAACATCATCCATGAATATTTTTCTTTATTGAATGTAGAACTTTACTTACTCTGATTACTTGCTTTTAAATTTCTGGAAGTTATGCAAAAGAGTTTTCTATACTACAGAAGTATATTTCTCTTGTTGTTATATTAAACTTAATGATGGAGAAAGCTTTAAACAAAATTTGCTAATGATAAAAGAGATGTCGAAAGTATGTTTGACAAAGTAGATATAATAATTACTTTGGTTGTGTGTTTGTTATTATACAATGACTTTACTTACATCTGTTGTTGCCTGTACACACTAAGATTTGGCTATAGCTGAAAAATACTGCTTCATTAAGTACCTTTTTTGTACTTTTCTCTTTAGTAAAGAGTTGAAGAATGAAGAGACAACGACATGTATAGAAATGAAATGACAAACCAAATGGAATTTCTTCTTAGAGGTTAGAAAGTTTCAGATCCAGAGGAAAAAACATCTACTGCTTCTTGTCTTTATGAAAAAAAACTAAAGAAATTTAGAAATGAAGTGTGGCTGGAAAAATCAATGTGGCTTTGGAGCTTAATTATTACAACCCATTGTGATTGTTGTTGGTCAGAGTATTAGTACTTCTATTCCCAGTAATTGTATCAAAATCACATTACCACTGTTGGCAAGCCAGTAAGGATAAAATTATAATTGCTGCTCAGCAAACATGAATAAAAAGTATTTGTATTGTTAGAATGTCTATTAAAAAATCATTCAATATTGTATCTGTAATGTGGTTATGTGTGTAATGTTATGCTCAGAATATGAAGTATTTGCTTTTAATACAACCTTACTTAAAAGATGTTCCAAAATATTGTGTGTTTAAAATGATGCCAGTAACAAAGGCATTAAAAAGAAAACAAGTTGTTTTTTAGGATTAAAATTTTATGTTGCTTTTGAGTGAATTATATATGTACTTGATAACACCTGAGTTAAAGTGATTTTTGGCTGGACTAGCAACCCTGTTCCAAATTTCCTTCCTTTTAAATACAGGCAGTTCATATTTAAACATATAAGTAATATGTAGACTTAACATGCCATAATATTTATTTTAGTTTTTATATTTGTTTTTAAATTATTACATTGTATTATTTATTTATTTAATTCCAGAATAACAGTATTATTACCATGTTGATGGCTTGTTTTAAAAGTTTGATATAATAGGGAAGTGTATTTTTTACTATCCTTTTTTTGTCTACAATATGCTCTCTGTTGATAAAATATTTAAACCCAAAATGAATACCAAATTAATTAGGAGAACTTATTTACCAAATAGAGACAATTGAATCTATTAAAATGAGTGAGAAAAGCAGTGTTGGGGATTGAGATGTAAATTTTGTCCAGATGTATACTTTATCCAAAGTGAAATACTTTCTAGTAAGATATGTATTTGTCTCTTATCCTTGTATATGTTGTAGAAGCATTAAAAACGGCAACTATGACCCTGCTATGGAGAACTTGAAAAGGGGGGAGGGTACGGGTGCTTTCAAAAGTGTTGTGTAGCATTGCTGATTGCTGCAATCTGCAGTCGTAGCACAGAGTCTGTTCTGCTAGTGCCAAGCTTCTGTCATTCTGGTTGTATCTCCGTGCTGCAAGTACAGCTGGGCCTGGGCAGCTTGAGTTATCCTCATGTAAACTTCTTTTCTGTCTTGTGAATGTACCGGATAGTTTTCAAATAAAGATATATGTCGCTGCAGTTTCAGCTTCTCATTTTGAGATGCTTGGTTGATTCTCTAATTTGAATTGAATTCACAAAGGATTTCAAAGGGGTGTAGATTTTATTCACTCATAAAATATTCCTTTAAGGGCAAGGGAAAAAACAAAATACTTAAATAAGGATTAAGGTTGACCCATTGTAACAATGAGATACACAAAACACTAGGTTGAAAGTGAACTTTACAACTTCAGCGTGGCCTTGGGTGGTGGGGGGAGGGGTAGTTGTAGAGGTGGGAAGGAAAGGATGGTAGGGGGAAAACAAAGGAGGAGGCAACAATGCTCAATAGGAAATATATTCACTACCTTGTTCATGTAACTAAACCCTCTGTACAGCATTTTTACAATAAAAAACGTACATAAAAGAATGAATTAAAAATAAAAAAAATTCCTTTATTTTCTGGAGAATCAAGTCATATAAGAAATGTTATTCATAAAATTATTTATTACGTAGGGGAAGAAGTAGATGCTTTATTGCGATATGTAAAGTCACAATAACAAGCAAATATTTCCTTTTATTGCAATGTAGTATTTTTATTCATTTGAAGATATATCGTATCTGTTACTAGTGTATTCAGAATAACTCAGAGCTGCCCTCACAGTATAGGAGAGTGCTTGGAACAGAGATTCAAATACAAAATGGAAAATTTCAGTGTTAGAGGAATTTGGTTGGTATGCAAAGGATACTCATACTTGTAATGAGCAGGGGAAATATTTTATTATTTAAAAAATTCACTTCTGGAATTGGCACTGTAGCTCAAGCGGTAGAGTGCTAGCCTTGAGCTGAAGACTTGAGGGACAGCACCCAGGCCCAGAGTTCAAGCCCCATGACCTACAAAAGAAAAAAAATTCACTTCTTTTTCCCAGACTCCAGGGGCAATAATGCATTTAATACTAGAAAGATGAACTAAAGAGCCATTTAGTGCCCTCATTCTTTGTTTTTGTCTATCTCTTGTATAAGTATTTTAACTCAAGACAAAAAAAATATTAGGGATGCTAAATATTTACTACATATTGGTGTTCATATGGAAAAGAAGAGGCTATTGAAGATAACAGAAAGAGATAAGGCAACTACTAGAAGAATTGGCTCTATGTAAAGCCACGTCCTCTTCTACTTTTTCCTCTGTCAATGTAAGACTAGGGTTATGTTCATGAATAGATTGATAAAAAAAAAAAGTCTTCACCACACCCACTGAGAGAAAATGGGCTGGGAAATCATGAGAATGTCTTCTATGTAATAGGTCCTGATTAGAATCCAGCAAGCGATTAGACACCAGTATCTACTTGTAACATACTGCTTTCTTTGAAATTATTGAATTTTATGTTTTTAAAGAAGGAATAATTTGACACTATCTTCTATATCAAAATTATAATTTTAATCATTTCTAGGAACATTCTCTATTCATTTAACTCTATCTTGTAAAGTATTTTCAGTATCAAAACTATACTGTAAATAGGACTTGCAAAGAGAATCAAAAACAAGTTTTTAAAGATTTAAAACAATTTGGCATTTAAGTGAACATTTTAAATGAAAGTAATGCTTTTAAATTGTTAATGCTTGGTACTTCTGAAATTTTATGCAGAATTTCTATCATACAAAAGTTCTTTAATTTTATGTATGTTACAGAAAAGTTTTATTAAGTAAAAATATTTTCTCCTCAGGAAGTTTGGCAAAATATTGTCTGGAAATAATTTGCCATTGTATACTTTGTATGTCACTTTATTATATATTTAGCCCACAAATATTTTTAAAAGGTAAGAAACTTTTAGAAACAATAGTCATAGTGACCTTAAGCTAGTAACCTTAAGTTTTTGTATGTATTTAACTGATTTCTGAAGGCCATATCTTAAATTAATGGAATATTCTTAAATGATATAAGACTTTAAGTTTATGTGTATGCCTTTTTAACTGCATTCATTTTAACTATGAGAAATATTTCCCAAATCTTTATTTTATTATTACATCTGATCTCATCTATTCTTGACATCCAATCCATAAGGCAGATAAAATCTCCACTGCTTTACAAATATGAAAGCAAAGTTCTGAAGTTAGGTACCTTGTCCAAATACACACAGCCTACAAACATCAGTGGTGGCTATAAAGAATGCTTTGTTATATTGCACCTGAGATTCCTAAAGTAATGGATCTCAGTTGCTGTGGAGAATAAAGCCAGTCAGTACTTAACGTTGTAGACTACTCACACAGTAACTAAAAACAGATCCTCTCAGGGAGCAGAAACAGCAAATATTGTTTGTAATACAAGAAAGACCTAAAACATGAAATATGTGAGTGAAAATTATTTTCAGACATCATTTGTGTCATTCTAGAATTATTTTGGTGAGTCTTTATGTGATAGTTCTATGTCTCTTTAAAGAATAGTTTCTGTAGACTCACTAATTACATGTACAGTAATATTTTATTCAAGAAGCAGAAAAGGCGCCATTCCAGTCATATAGGAGATAATAAAAACATCAAGCAGCATGTCAGTCAAAAGGCTGTGTTGACTGGAGAACTCAATCTATGGATGCACCCAATTATCTACAGGAGAATGGGATGTCAGCATCGTTTAGGGTTAACAATGGGCGGACTAGCCAAAGGCAGACAGCTACTCACCACAGAAACCGGGGAGGTACACTTGGTAATGAGGCACTTCATTCATCATTTCTTTCTGCTCTAATTATTAAGGTGAATAGAACATACTCTAAGCTAAGGCGGGAACTGGATAACAAAAACATTTGTTTTGTAAACGCAATACTATATTTCTAATGATCCCCTTCACATGTACATCAAGCATGTGACGTGACCACCATGTGTTCCCAACTTGCTCTTCCCAACACCTCAGGTTCGTACTAATTATGGATGGGTTTAGTGTTTCACAAAAAAAATTGAGAACCTAGTACTGATAAGAATCTTGAAATAAAATGTCTTTCTAAAAGGGGGATTTTATGTAAACACAAACACCACACATAATTCATGCTCTACCATTTATCACTTATGTAAACATGGCCTTACTACACACATAGGTCAATGTCACTTCTAAAAGTATTGAACAATTTAATATTTACTTGTTGTAGTTCTCTTTTTTTCATTAAATTACTTGAGCCTTGTCAAGAATGATTTTAATAATATAATAGAAGGAAATTTAAGAATGGTCTATTTATAGTTTTGTTTTGTTTTGTTTTTTGTCAGTCATGGGGCTTGAACTCGGCCTGGATGCTGTCTTTCAGCTTTTCAGCTCAAGGCTAGCACTCTACCACTTGAGCCACAGACAGCATCATTTCCCACTTTTTCTGTTTATGTGGTGCTGAGGAATCAAACCCAGGGACTCATGTATGTGAGGCAAGCACTTTACCACTGAGCCACCTTCCCAGGCCCTACTTACACACTTTTATAAGTAAACTTACCTATTGCCAATCAAAGGATGATTCCTTAAAATAATTTATTGTAATGGAGATAGTTAGCTTAATGAAAATAAGAAAAAATAAGAGTGTGTGAAGGGGTTAAAAGGAAGAAACTGAGGAAAATAACTTGTTATGAGAGCAAAAAAGGAGCAACGAAGCTTGCAAACAGCAGTGGTAAGACTAAAGGAAGAAGATTCCCTGGAGAAAAGAATGGTAGATTCACTTCAGTTTTTCAGTGTTTTTAGCTGAGGATCAGTTCATTTTTTTCTATTAAATTTGTTCACTGGTCCATTATACAAAAATATTCTACAATTATTTTTTGCCATTTAGGCTAAATGAAAAATGGTTGAGCACAGTAATGTGTTCTAACCAACTCAGACTGGTTAAAACAAAACTTCATGTTCAGATATATCTGTAGATGCTGCTTTTAGCAACTAAACATTTCCATGATGATAAAAAAGTAGCATTAAAATCTATGCACTGTAAGAACATCAAATTTTTATACTTATCATATGTGCAGGCAGACTTCATAATAAACTCGTCTATAGCAGCTGTAAATTTCTTGAGGATTTATCTAACCACAAATACATTGAAATGGGGAAATGGGTCTATATTAAACCATGCAAGATGCTGCTGGAGCTTTGCCATTTCTGCAACATCCTGTAATTAATTTATCATGACAGGTCTGGCAAACTGAAACATCCAATACACTTGTGACAGACTGTTAGACTACAGTTGTTGCACATCTACAAGCATGTAAAGTGAAGCTAGATATTTCTTCCAAGCATGACTTTAGAGGACATTCTAGTTAGAGTGCCCTAGAGCCAGGACCAACCTTGAATCACAAAGTAAAAATACCTTAAGATATCGAAGAGTTCTTGGGCTGTGGTAATATTTAGATCTTTTCCTGAAAAGGGACAGCCTGGCAGAGAAGCATGCAGTCTAGTCACTTATTCCCAAACATGTGCATCTGGTGCTAGATATAACCAGGTTTGCACTGGGAGATTCGAAGGTCAGTTCAATTTTAAAGTCTCTTGAACATATCATTTCCTGTAAATGAGGTTCCAAGACTGCCACCTTCATATGTGTAAAATCCTTTTCTGGGATCAGTGGTCTACTATTTTGCAAACATAAATGTGACATTTTATGTTTTTGCCAAATAGGTCCTAAAAATCAATAGTCAATTTCTAGCAGAAACGGGGGAGAAGGAGAGGCAAGGAAAGAAGAATGGAAGGGAGGGAGAGAGGGAAGGAAAGATAAATGAGGTATTATTATTTCTCTGTTGTTCTAAAGAGAAGACACTTCTATTTTTCATTACCTTAAAAAGGGAAAAAATGGGGCTGGGAAGGTGGCTCAGTGGTAGAGTGTTTGCCTTGCATGCCTGAGGCCCTGGGTTTGATTTCTCAGCACCACATAAGCAAAAAGAAAAAAAGCCAGAAGTGGTGCTGTGGCTCAAGTGGTAGAGCGCTAGCCTTGAGCTGAAGAGCTGAGGGACAGGGCCCAGACCCAGAGTTCAGGCCCCACGACCGGACCCAAAAAAAAAAGGAAAAAGATTAAAATTTGACCTTGAAGTGTTAGGAA